AGCAAACCAACCAGGAGCAACAAAGAAGAACATGAAGCAAAGCAAACGGGGCATAAGAGGGCAAACACACAAGCAAGGCAAGCAGAGCAAACAAGCAGACCAGGCAAAAGACAGAATAGAATCATGGAAAAAGGTAATGTGCTGCCCTGCCCAAGCCACACCCACAGCCCCAGCAATAATGAGTACAAAGGACAATGAATTGTCAACCTTTTCGAGTCACAAATAATTCATTCAAACTCTAGACTCTAAACTAAACCAGACCTGTTCTGGGCGTTCATCAAACATATGCCTACGCCACAAACGCGTTTACTGAACCACGTAACATGGCACCACAAACCGCACGCAATTTTAACGTAATAGCGAGTGTTCAAGTATGATTGCGACGACTTGACTAGGGCTACAGCGGCTGACAAGCACTGCACGCACACACACAAAAAGCACTTTACATACTTTCATTCAAACGTAGGATCTAAATTTTAAAGACCTGTCCGAAGGAGACATGACCTATTGGGGCATGGCATAGTCACTAGTCACTAATCACTTGGTAGTGACAGTGGGACCAATTCATTGCCGTCACAAAGGTTCACCATTATCCATAAATGTACTTCCCACTCATTTTGTGCTGCTGTAGTGGTTTGTTTGGCGCACAGCATGACTGCTTCAGCTTCTGTCCTTGCCACATGACATGCTGAGGCCAAGTCATTTGCAAATTGTGAAAGCTCAAGCTAGGTTAGGCCCTACTAGGGCTGGGGTGTGGGTCCCTACAGAGGTAGGACTTTCACTCCGCTTCGGGGCCTTCTAACGCCCATGGGTTGGTCTACTGTGGATGCTTTTTTTTTGAAGAAGTCAGAAGCCTCAGCTAAATCAATTGAAGATGCCGAAGCTGTTCGTCTTGATGACGACGATGGTGATGATGTTGTGGAGGTGGGTTGCCAGAACCCTCTGCAGAAGGCAGAGGGGCACTCAGGCCAATCCTCTGGCTCGGAGATCGACGGTGGTGGGAGCTTGTGGTGGGTAGACCTGTTGAGGCAGCACACCTCCCATTTGCCAAAAGCAAAGGCCAAAGAGACTGGAGAAGAGTGGTCTGTGGTTTCTGCTTGCAGCGGCCTGCTCGCAGAGGGGTTTGTGTTGCAGGCGAATCTGAGGGAGCAGGGAGGGGTTCATGTCTGGCCCTGGGCCGGAATAGGAATCCCCACGCCGCAATAAGAATAGGTGCTAACCGACCGCCATACCCATAACCGTGAACCGTAACCCCAATACTGCTACCACTACCAGTACTGGGACGGTTGACTGTTTGTATGTTATGTCAACTCTAATCTAGACTCTAGACT